CAGTTTTTCTAGAACCTTGGCTAAAATGCAGAGTTTAGAGATTGGTCCATAGTTGTTCAGTGAGGTGGGGTCTCCTCCCTTCAGCAAAGGAAGAACAAAGGCTGTTTTCCAAGCATCTGGAATGGAGTTTTGGTTTATGGGCAGGTTAAAGTATGCATCTGCAAGGAGCTGGCAGGGGCATTTATGTGAATAGTGTCACCATAGTCAATGGCCAGTAGGAAGGTAGCGGTTACAAGGTGTTTTGTAGCATTCTGAATTAAGCAAGATCTATTTCTGAAAAAGAAACCCAGTTTTTATTTCAGTTTCTTTATCAAGTTTTTGACATGTGGTTTAAAAGAGAGCTGTGCATCAACTAAAATTCCCAAGTATTTGAAAGAATCTACAAACTCAATAGGAACATCATGCATGGATGAGAGAGGAGGAAGAGTTGTTGGCACAGACTTTCTGTTGGAAAACAACATCCCTTTGGTTTTGTCAGCATTTAGCACCAGCTTGAGATGGAACAAGTCTGACTGAATGATGTCAAATACAGACTGGAGAAGCTGTAAAACCTTGGCAACTGTGTTAGCTCAACAATAAACTAGTGTTGTCGACAGAGATGCAAGGAGATATTCAGTTTGTCTTTTGGTAAGACAAACTGAATATACCAAGTATGTTAAATTGAATGATTTAATTAGTGACATGTTTAAAGCTTGTGGAGATGAAAGATTCTGTTCTGTGTTCACAACTCGTCATACTCTGTCATGCTTTCTGTATTATTTTTTGCATGCTGCAAAAAAAAACCCCACTGAATTGAGATAACTTATTTTCTGCATAAATGTCCTGATGTGCTAATAAAACATTTTGTTTTTTTCTCATTACAGTCCTGGTTCCTCTGACACGCCTCTCTGAATCGACAGCTGTCATGAAAATTGGAAAATTGAAAAACAAACACGTCGCCGCTGATAAAGAACTAAATGCTGACACTAAAGGTCCTTCTTGCCAAACACTATTGGAAGTCCTACTTCAGAACCTGAGCTCCCCCCTCCCTCACCCGCAGGATCCCCACCCCCACTTTGACTCCATTCAGATAGGAACATTTATCCCTCTTGATGCAGGAGGTGTTGTGAGGATGAGAGGACATGGATGAGGAAGAGGAGGATGATGATGAACTGTTTCACAAACACTTTGAAACTGTCAGAAAGAAAAGACGATGTAGAAACCTGACAAATGACCAATTAAGCATTTGTTTTTCTTTTATATACACATATACATATATTTAAAGACATATAATTTTTTATTTCATTTTGTTGTCTCCACAATGAAACTCCATTGGCTGGGAGATCCAAACAAACAACAAGTATTGGTAAGCAAAGGGGAGGACAGATGTGCAGCTCACACATCTGTCCTCCATGATCACCACCCTCATCCCATCTCACTTGGAGCTCAACGTTGCTTGGGGCCAAAACCATAACCACAGCCGAGCGTCTGCGCTGCTCCGTTGGCTCCGCCCCCCACCCCGATCGTCCTCCATTTCCAATTGGCCAATCATGGTTACACCATCCAATGGTGTGACGTATATGCACTAAGTGACTGCTCTCCGTTTACCTCTCGCAGAATCAGTGTTGGAGAAGTGATGGCCACGAGGCGGGTGCAGAAAGCCAACCCATACGCTGCACATGCCCCTTCATCCCCCCACCTATGCACTATTAACAATCAAACCAGGGATGCAAGCTGTGCACAGCAGTGGTCAGACTAGCGAGCGGAGGTCAGCTGCCTCTGCACAGATGAAGCTGCGGTAACATTCAGGTTTTGGCCCTGAAATATGTAACACATACACACATGCACACACATTTGGCAGAGCATCAACTTTAGAACAGTCCCGCACAAACACAAATAATGCACACACAGCATCAGCTTCAGATTATTAGCTTTAATTTAATTTCTTGAGACTGCTTCTTCTTTTCCAGACTTGGTTAGGGTTAGGTTTGAACATCGTCCTCTGTTCAACACACGCTTTCATTAAGTGGGGAGTGGTGGCGCAGAGGTTAGAGAAGATGGCCTGTGATCAGAAAGTTGCAGGTTCAACTCCCCGGACCGACAACATCAAAATGTGGGTGGAACAGGTGAAGCACCCACACCTGCCTCCGCCCTCATTTGCCCCACTCTGGGCCCTTGAGCAAGGCCCTTAACCCCCACCATCTTTTCCTATAAACAGGTCTCTGTTGAAAATGAGTTCTCGTGACTCAATGAGACTAACCTGGATAAATAAAGGGTAAAAAAAAAGTTCATATTTCAGTTTCACATTTCTCACAAACGGACAGCACAGTAACTGGCGCTCGTAACACCCTCGCACTGCTTCATGCTGTGCCCCATAAACCCCTTACATACACTCTCACACACACACAGCATATTAACACAACCTGATACAGAATAAATAAGGGAAACCTTTAAATTTGGTTCTCCAGTCTGCCTTTGTTGATGGTTTTTCATTCAAGAGTTGTCATTTTTAGTTTGAAATATATTTTTATGTTCACATATAAATTTTAAGTTTCTTTTTATTTTGCATCGTGACACAACCCAACAAAATAACTGGACTGCCTGACTGCCGGTTCTGTAGTGAGAGAGGGCTGAGACGGGCCTCGGTAGTTTTCCGTACATTAAGACAACGAACTATGGAAGAGCCTCCTATTCTACGGCAACATATGAGGGTCACTCGAGACAGAAATATAAAAAGAAGCAGGAAGTTGTTCGATCGTAGAGTTAAAGTCAGAGTATTGAAAATAAAGTTAGGAACTAAACCCAACAGAACCCTTTGTGTTCCCAAACCAAACTTTTTTTTTAATTATTATTATTATTATTATTATGGGGTAAACAAAAAAAATCATAAAATGAACTAGTCCATGCGGTTCACTGACTGAACTTCCTTCATTCCTTCACAATAAGAGTCTTTCAACATACTGGATATATTGAGTGTTATAACTAGACACAGGAGCAGAAGCTGGAAGTTGAATCCACAAAGGACAAGCGCCGCAGACTGAGCCGGCTGCTGGACAGTTTTTAAGTGCTGCCCCACCGTGCAAACATTCGGCTCTTTTTCCTGGTTAAGAGATAAAAAATGCACTTCAGATGATCCACAGTGCACGAGTTCTAAAACATGACGTGGCAGAAAATATTAAGCTAGTTTGGACATTCGCAGCAGCTCTCAGATCATCTGAGGCGTGTGACAAGAATGATTTATGTAGAGTAGAAGTGATTTCCAGGTTGTTTTCAACTCCACGTGTGCCAAAATGTTTTTATTGCAATGAGCCAACGTTTGGTGAAACCATTGCCGATCGGAGCAGAGCAGCTTCACTCCATTCTTGAAGTTTGAACTTGAATCTCTTCCTGAGGGACTCGTGTACATTGTCGTACTCCCTTCATACAGTTGATGAGAACCTTCAGGTTTCTTCTCGTGTGCGCTGCACGTAAGGGGGCGCAGGTGTCCGTGCACGTGGAAACGTCTGCCCTGGACACGTTTATAGAGGACTGCAACATTTTCTTCTTGTAAAGACAGAGAAATAAATATATTTATGAGATGTACTCCTTTTGAACTTTTCCTCCCCCAGCTGGTTGGCAGTCTAGTTATTTTGTGAACTCTCACCCCCGCCACACACACACACACACACACACGTTTCAGTAACGCCACCTTCCTGTTACAGAGCAGACACGCCATTTGCAAAAACGAGGACTGGGCAGCAGGTTTGAAGAACAGTGTTTGTTTTCATGGAAAGTATTATTGAAGACTTTGTGTGGACTGAGCCACGTGCACGTGCAATGTGTCTGTTCAAGGTTGAAAAGAGAAAAAATTGTATTTGTTTCAAGTCTGTAAGCTCCAGGACTCTAAACTAGAGGGCCATGAAAAAAAAAAAATCCTAGTCTTTGTAAGTTGGGGGTGTTTTTACTTCGTTTTGTCTCTTTTTATGTTTAATGTGTAATTTGTTGATTTAAAAAAAAGAAACGTGGTGCTTTAACACCATAAGTCCATAAAACCTAACGGAGCGTTTAGGAAGCAGCAGTATTCCTCTCTTTGTATTCTTCTCTTTGTATCGTACCGGGGGTGGAGGGGTGGGGGGTCTGTTCCTGAAGGTTGCAGCACAAAAACATTTTGCTTCAAAACTTTAGCCTTTCACTGCCTGAAACTCACCAGCAAGAAAACGTGAAAACAAATCAACCCCCCCAGTTTATTTCATTTATTTTTAACATCACAGCGAGTTCCTTCCTGCCTCCTGGGGGGTTACTTCACACCCAGAACATTGTCCTGGTGGATCCAGAGCTGGAGATGTGGAGGTGCAGCAAGGACTTTCAGGAACAGACATCAGGTGGAGGTTTGCACCCCCACCCCACCACCACACCACCACCACCACCGTAAATGACTCTTGTGCTTGTGCCGTAGCGGATAGTCCCCAGAAGTAAAGGTCGTCCCTTGAAAGTGCCTTTTGTTCACAACTCATTTTGTAAATCAGACACCCCCCCCCCCCCCCCCCCCCCCCCCCCATTTTATTTTTATTTGAAGCACCTGAAGGAAACAGGTTGCCTCTGAGTGTTGAATTTAGGAGCAACTTGTCCCTCTGGCTCCCCCCCCCCCCCCTCCCATCCTTTGTTTTCAAAGCTGTGTATCTATATGTTTATATTCTATAGATATAGATATTATAGATATGCACCTTTGTAAAGTACAAAAAGGAAACTGGTGTGAATTCTTTTTACTGATGATGAAAACAACTTTTTTGAAAAGGCAAAAAAACATGTTCATCTCTGGCTTTATTTTTCCTCTCGTCCGTCTCCTGTCTTCTCTTGGACACTGGAGTCGTCTCCCCCTCTCATCCTTTCTGCTGATGGGAGGGGGTGGAAAAAAAATCTTTGCAGAACGTTGTGTCTGAGCAGAATGCAGTTAGCTCACGTTATTCCTGTCTGTACTCTTCACGTTGTATTCCCATCTTCAGCTTCTCCATGCAGCAGCTAATGTAAGTCAACAAATGATGCTGGTGAGCTTTTGGGGGTGCCCTCAGGGCGGGTGGGGGGGTTTGTTCAGAGGGGACGAGGGGCTGGAAATGTTGGGGCTGCTCAGACTAGGATAGAAGTTAGCTCTTTTGTTTTTAGCTATTTATATTTTGGCTTTCCCCATTTTGTTTCTTTTCATTTTGAATTTTTTATACATTTGCTATCAGGGTATGTCGTCTTTGAGGATGCTTTGGACTATAAAACAAAAGCTACAAGCACCTTATAACCGGACTCATCCTGCACGAGGCTGAAGGAGGGGGATGAGAACCTTTAAAATCAGCTCAAACCACCGTTTTGTTCAAAGTATTGTGGGTTCCACGCAGTGGAAACTTCAGCAGTTTTAACCAGTAAGACCAGGCGGCTAACGCCAGCAGAACCCTGAACTCAGTTATCAGAGAAGTCCCTCCAACTTTTCCCCCTCTGACCTCATGCCGGACTGCTCCGACTCTTTGTTCTGTTGTTTTTGGTCTTTTTGATTTCTTCCTACATGTGTGTGGTTATTGATGAGAGGCAGCACCCCAGCCCTCCACCCCCACCATGACTCTTTCTACACCTCTGTTGAAGCTGAACACCCCCAGAGCTCTTGGTGAAATGCATGTGTTAATTACAGTTTCTTTTCCATAAGAAGAAAAACAGTTTGAGAAGAGCAGCACCCACTTGAATAAAAGGATGTTCTTGACTGTACCCCCTGCCCACTGTGTTGGTTTTTACTGATGTATAAAAATATGTTCAATAATCACACAATGAAAAACACAAGCATTTTTCAGATTGTGATAGAAATGAGAAAAAAAGAAGAGCATCATGAAAAATTAATCTGTTTCCAGACTTTATTCTCTGACGATGGTTCTCCAGCTGATGGTGCTCAGGATAAACGTGTTGAATGCTTACGAGTTAAATAAACTACTGAGAGAAATTACATCTGCAGCGTGAATCAGCTTGTTCTAGAACTGCGCCGCTCAAGGTGGCTGCATGTTGGAGCAGCTCTGTTACTTTCATTCTGAGATTTTGCTTTTGGAAACTTTATTTCCTCTTTTTCTGGATGTAAATCACATTTTTAGGATGATTGTTTCCTCTGGTATCAGATGCTGTGCAGCTGGAAGGATTTTTACTGAGACTTTTTTTAGTTTTGGACATTTTGTTATGATGCGTAACCATGGCAACAAGGCAGTTTTCTACAACAACAGCAGCTGATTAACATCTCAAAAGCTCAAATAATATCTCAACTACAGCCCTAAATTACAAGTGAGTTGAAACGATGTTCTGTGGATGCATTCTCATCTACCTGCCAGCTGTGCTCGAGTGCCTGACCACTGAGATCCTGGAACTAGCAAGAAACATGGCTCATGACAGCAGAAGGACAGGATCGTCCCTCAGTACCTACAGTTGGATGTCCGCAGCTACGAGGAGCTCGGCAGACTGCTGGGAGGAGTGGCCATCACTCTGGGAGGAGTTCTGCCCAGCATTCAGGCGGTCCTACAGTCCAGGGGAACCGAGAGGCCAGCCGAGTCTGGGTGGACGAATCGGACGACGTCTGCAGCCAGTTTCTTAGGATCCACTGTGGGATGGATCTTTACAAGAGATTCTTCCTGTCTACAGCATCAGCATCTATAACATCTCTTAATGAAATGAGGATAACGAGTTACAACAAATAATTTCCCTCTGGGATTAATAAAGTATTTTTGAATTGAATTGAACACATGTTGCGGGCACTTGCCAGGTGGAATTTGAGGAAAAAGCTGAAACTGGGTAATTAAAGCTAAAAGAAGCTGAACACTAGCTAAAACCTTTTCTAAATGATAGCTGAAAAAAGTCAAAAGCTAAATGTTGCAAACAAAGCTAAAATTTTGTTCAGTTTATTTCTAAAGCTCCAAGTCGCAACAGAAGTCATCTCAGACACCGAACAGAAACTTTCATATATAAAAATAATAATTTAACAGAAACATTCATGTATAAAATAATAATTGAACATTATTTATCTGAGGAGCAGCTTTGAGTTTAACTCTCATGTTGAACAAGCATGAAGGCGACAGTGGAAAGAAAAACTCC